CGTGCATTCTGGTCTCTCGCCAAGGCTGTCTAAGGGAATTTCTGTAAGCCATCACTACCATCTCTGCACAGGGAGGACGACTCACTGGCCCACGACGCAAAAGACAAAGCCGACCTTTTAGGCTCCCTTTTTGCGTCCAACTCGACTCTTGATGACGGGGGGAAAATACCGCCGACCATCCCGCGGTGTGAGTGCTCCATGCCGGATGTGCTATTCTCACAGCGCTCAGTTCGCAAAGCACTTCTCTCCCTGGACATCCAGAAGTCGAGTGGGCCTGACGGAATCCCCCCAATTGTGCTGAGGACGTGTGCTCCGGAATTGGCACCGGTCCTAACGCGTTTTTTCCGGTACTCCTACTCCCAAGGCGTAGTCCCGAATTCATGGAAGACAGCTTTTGTCTTCCATGAATAGCTAAAAAAGGCGACCGCTCAGACCCGTCCAACTATAGGCCTATCGCGATCACCTCCTTGTTCTCCAAAATAATGGAATTCATTATTAACTACTAGCTCATCCGGTACCTTGAGGATCACCAGCTGATTAGTGACCGCCAATACGGTTTTCGTCGGGGTCGATCAGCTGGTGATCTTCTGGTCTACCTGACCCATAGATGGGCGGAGGCAGTAGAGTCCAAGGGGGAGGCGTTGGCCGTTAGTCTGGACATGGCGAAGGCCTTCGATCGGGTTTGGTACAAAGCGCTTCTTTCGAAGCTCCCTTCCTATGGGCTTCCCGAGAAATTGTGCAATTGGATCACCAGCTTCCTTGCAGATCGGAGCATCAAGGTCGTTGTAGACGGTGCATGTTCTGACTACAAGCCTATTAACGCTGGTGTTCCACAAGGCTGTGTGCTATCACCAACGCTGTTTCTTCTGCATATCAATGATATGTTGCTAACTGGTAACATTCATTGCTATGCGGATGACAGCACTGGTGATGCTCTATACACCGGCCGGGCCAATATTTCTCGGAAAAACGTCGCTGAGTACCGGAACAAACTTGTGTCTGAAGTCGAGTCTTTGCTGGACAAAGCTGGACGGATTGGGGGCGACTAAATCTAGTCCAGTTTAATCCTCAGAAGACACAAGTTTGCACGTTTACCGCTAAAAAGAACCCCTTTGTCGTATCTCCTCAGTTTCAAGGCACTCCCCTTCTTGCCTCAGCCAGTATCGGTATCCTCGGAGTCGACATATCGAGTGACGTGCAGTTTCGTGTTCACTTGGAAGAGAAGGCCAAATTGGCCTCTAAAAAGCTTGGCGTGCTCAGCAGAGCGGGACAGTATTTCATGCCGGCACACCGCCTGCAACTTTACAAGGCGCAGGTTCGGCCTCACATGGAATACTGTTCCCATCTCTGGGCAGGGGCTCCCCAGTACCAGCTCCTTCCACTTGACCGCATCCAGCGCAGAGCGGCTCGAATCGTCGACGATCGAGCCCTTTCCGATCGGCTCGATTCATTGACACTGCGAAGAGATGTTGCATCTCTTTGCATTTTCTTTCGCATCTACCATGGGGAGTGCTCTGAGGAATTGTTCGGATTAATCCCAGCCGCCAAATTTCATGAAAGCACATCGCGGCAGAACTCCCGATACCATCCACACCATCTGGATTTTTTTTTAATTTATTTATTATCATAGTAAATACAATTGGTTCAAAAAACATTAAGTTCGCCAAACTGAGAATACAGTTTATTGGCGAAACTGCACTCATTAAGGTTTACAATTGCATTTTAATATTTCTCTAAAATAAATTTTAAAACAAAACATATTAGTAAACTTATAAAGTAATTAAAAAAAAATTAAAGACTAAGTAGGTAAAGTACACTTATCACTAAATTAATAACAAAGCTATAAAAGACAGAAAACGAATATCTTAAATTAAATTAATAATGAATAAAGATTAATAAAAAATAATTAAGATTAATAATTAATAATAAACTAAATATTACTACTCTAATACTACAGGTCGCCGATGGCATTCAGTAGCCAATATTTCAATTTGTTTTTAAAAATTTGTTTTGTCTTACAGGCCTCTTGTGGCACGTTTTCATTAAATATTCTTGGCACTAAATACCTACGCGTCCTTTCACCAAAGTAGTTTTGCGCACTTGGTTCCTCAAACAATTTACGTGTATTCTTTCTTAAATTACCATAAATTGATTTCCTAACTAAAAATTTACTTTTGTATCCTTCAATTGCTAATAAATACTTTGTTTTTTCACTTACTGGTAGAATATTGCATTTCTTAAACAATAGATTATAGTTACCCTTACTTTTCTCTTTAGCTTGCTTACTAACTAACAGTTTAATAAATCTTAGTTGAAGGTTATGTATCCTATCCATGTACGTTCGGAACGTACGTCCATATGCTGAAAGGCCATAATTAATTACAGAATCCACGAGAGCATAGTACAGAATGCGTAATGTTGTTTTATCAACTACGCTTTTAAGGTGTACAAACTTACATAATAACGATCTTAATTTATTACATACTCGTTCTATATGGAAATTCCAACTAAACTTAGTATCTATGGTTAATCCTAGATATTTGTAATTCTCAACAAGCTCAATCGAATTACAACCAATGCATTGTTTATTTCTATGCAAGCAATCATACGAATGGCCTATGATATTTATACTTGTAGGTATACATGGTTTACTTTACATACTTTATTTTATTATACATTAAAATTATTCCATTATCGTGGGACCATTTGATTACGTTATCAAAATCCGATTGTACTTTGTTCTCTGTGTCTGTTGTTTGGATGATTGGCGGTCCACCACTGTGCGATTTAGAAGAAGTTTTCTTCCTCGCACGACTTCCTTGTGGAATCGATTACCATCAGCGATTTTTCCGGACCGATACGACTTAGGGACCTTCAAGAAAAGAGCCTACTCCTTTTTAAAAGGCCGGCAACGCATCTGCAATTCCCCTGGTGTTGCGGTTGTTCATGGGCGACGGTAGTCACTTCCCATCAGGTGAGCCGCATGCTCGTTTGCCCCCTCTCCTATAAAAAAAAAATATATAAGTGCACTACATCTAGTAATATATTTTTTATAGAATAATGCTGACATACAAGCACACAGCTCACCCGATGAAAAGTGGATGGTGTAGCCGATAGACATCTATATCTGAATAAAGTATCATGAATTAAGTATCAAAATGCAGATGCTTCGTCACCTCTGAGGACTAGGATGAAATGCCTCGTATCCAATTAAAAGAGTCTCCTGTTCTCTACATTCACTATACATTAAGCACGCTTTAAGAAACATAAAGCTGCTATTTCACGGTGGTATTCGGTAAGAGCGTGACTCTTCCCCGGTTCATCCGACCCATCCGTGCTACAACCATAACATAGATTCAGCATGGCACTAGTACGTATAAAATAGTTATTATAATTTAAAGCATTGGTCGATATTTACATGATCACAAGATATTTACATAAGCCTTAATGCAATGTTTGAGTTGACTTGGCTTCCTATTTTAGGCATAATATATTATTTCAATTCTACTTCATTATGTGGTATTAACAAGTAGGAAGCGTTAAAATGTCACGTCTGCATTAAACCGATAAATAAAAACAAAAGCGAGTGAAATTATCATTGCATAGAGGAGAAACCGGTAGCAACCGTTAACAGAAAAGAATCTTATTATTTTTTAATTTTATTTTACCTACGTAACGTACTTTTTATTTTATCTACGTAAATGTTTACGTTTGGCGCAAACAACCGGACTGACATACAAGTGACACGGAGTAGTCTAAATGGAAAAGTTGGAAATGCCTTTAGTTTCCTCTACTACTTAGGTTTTATAAGCTAAATGAATTGTATATATCTTGTATGAAACAAAATATAAGATTTTATCTTCAATTAAAGTTGTGATCCGCGAAATAAAATAAAATTATGTATCTTATTTAGTTTGAAGAGAATAAATTACGATGTCATGCCGTATATACCGTAAGAGGCCATAATGGGAAATGCCAGAAGAGCTTATTCTTCCAATGGATGGAGATCTGTTCACTAATTTTACAAGAGATAGGAATTACCTTGACCTTTTACTATCAACAGCATATAATGGTGCAAGTCCAATTAATCGTGGTGATTAGGATAAATCCTTCAAAATCCTACAATGTCTTTCTGACTTGCTGTAGGGAGGTACAGAAAGTCTCACGTCCAGTAATGGATATGAGCCTGATGATGAACTTTTACGGACTGACAATATACCTGATTCACCATTGTACTAAGTACACCGGTGAGTAATATATATTGGTATATAATTAAAAGAAGTGGTTTTGCCGTACGACATAATGAGTTCTCATTTATTCAAGTAAGAGTGATAAACGGATACTCACGCCGCTTGATGTTAAACAGATGCTGTGGCCCACAGACACACCTATTCTCGATTAAGAAACAAAATACAGATGTCTTGTCATTCCTGCAGAATGAAGTATCTCGTTTTTAGTAAAAAGGATCTCCGTTTCCCCAAAATATAGCAGCATTATGCTGCTATTGTATGCTGGTATTCTATAAAAGTTAAAGTTACATTTATTCTTGTATTCTATACGACTCCACTATTCCATATAGTCCAGTTGTTGGTGTAATAAGAAGCGAGAGAGGGAAACTTATGTAAGCGATGGTCAACAGCATATTTTTGATATCAACTTCATATTAATAATAAAAAACTGTGGTTACCAAACCGTCTACCAAGAGTCGCAACTATGGTAAATATCTTCACTTTGAGGCAATATATAGGGGAGACCTATATTTACCAGTGAACATTTAAGCTATAGTAAATTAATAAATGATTTAATTATATGTGATTGGGGTTCTTCCTCGGTTTCCCGAACCATTCGTTTTGCAACCATAAACCGCTGCAGCGTAACCCTAGTACACCACCATGTGAAAATATAAATTACATAAGAAAATAAAATTATAAGAAATATGATAAGGGTTTACATTTTATTTACAAAACCAGTATTTATATTACAAATCGTTTACTTTCTGTTCAGTAGAACCGTCTGTAGGCAAAAGGAGCAGCGTATCCGAAGCCGCCATAGCCAGCGAAGTTACCGTAGCTGTAAGGTAAGGTGTATCCGTAGGGAAGAGTGGTGTAGGCAAAAGGAGCAGCCGGGATCAGAGCGGGGTCTTTCCTGACATTAGCATTGAAGCCTTCAGCACCGGCGGTGTAGTCGACAGTCCTGCGGGTTCCATCAGCGTCAAGGAGAGAGTATTGGCCTTGTACATTGTCACCAGCGCGGCTTTCAATCTGACTCTTGTAGTCACCGGTGTAAGGATCGGCAACGCCATAAGAGAAGGCGGAATAATCCGAGGCACTGACTGCTGCCACAAGGGCGAAAAGGAAGGCAAACTGAAACAAAAAGTTTTATTTCATTATTTATAAAGGTAAGAAAAAGAGTTTTAAAAGGTTTAAATAAGAGTGCTGTTACATTTCTATTTTCATAAAATTTAAGTTACAGTCCACTTGCTGGTAAAGTGCTGTTGAAATGATGAAGGCTACAGATGCTTTGCCATCTTTGAGGACTAAGAAGTAGTTCTTCACCGCCTACAATTATACAGGTTCTCTGTATAATTTACACAGAAGCACAGCAATACACGCACTGCTGTTTGGTGACAGAAGTAGGTAAGAAGATAGTACTTACCTAAACGGACTCGTAAGTAGTAAATTTCTGATATTAATATATCAGATCAGATATATAATATATAATAATTTAAATACAAATTTCATTTCATGATAGTTGCAAGTGACGACTATGTAATGCCAGGAACATCTTGGTGGCCTCCGATAGGTGCATAAATAGTGTCCATCTATCGCCAAGCCAGAGTAAAGAAACTCAGGGTGAGAAGCATTCCAATAAGAAAGGCCAACGTATAGCATTAGACTGTAATGGACGGATGATGAAGAAGAAAAGGAAAGATGTGTTTTACGACTACAAAAATATTAAAGGGTAAATTTAATATTTGACTTACCTTCGCAACCATTTTGTTAGTAGAATAAGGTAGAATAGTTGTGACTGTATGGAAGGTATCTGTTGTTGTGATGCTCATCACAGACTTTACACTAGTATTTATATAATTAAAATCTTCTACTTTTTTGTCAGATCAGTCGATCAGGAAACGCGTAAATGTCAAGTCCAAATCTGAACGACAGTGAAGAAATTTCATAATAATAAAGTTAAATAAAACCGGTTAAAATTATGTACGATATATTGTTTAAGATCACGTGCTTTTATGAAGTGTCAATATGTCTCGTTTTGTTTTAGCGGTATAAATGAAATCATCACCCCATTTCGTCTGGTGGATTTCGCAAGAGGCAATTATGAGAAATGCCAGATAGAAATAGCTTTCTGCAAATGATGTCATAACCATACCATTTACGTCATACGTAAAATGATCCAGATTAAAAGGAATAGCGTAAAGGTTTGAGATGTATGCGATCTCTAATCAGCCTGCCACGCGTGTCGTTTGTGGCAAATCAACCTTACAATGGGAGAGGATTGTGTCCAGAAATGAAGTTTTATTGACTTACGCTAATGAATAAGAATAGTCCATAACAAAATGTATCTTTTATATCTTATTTTATTTATTTATTCTTTATTGCATTGCTTAATCTTAAATAATACAAAGGGCGGACTTTATTCTTTGAGGCTTTCTCTACCAGTCAACTTTAATTTCAAATGTCATAATGTCAAAGTTAATTTAACAATATTTTGTAATCAAAATGTAAAAAAGGCAATCAAATTAAAGTTTTTATGCCATTTTTAACGCTATTATATACCAATTCAATATGAAACACACTTTTTACGTTATAAAATTAATGTTTTAATAATGAAGATTTTTAATGTGTATAAATTTTGTCTCCTTTTAGATGAAGACATGGTTAAAAGCTTAACATCAATGTCATTCATATAATATTCGCCAATCTGTCGCGACCATAAAATGGCTCTTTATCGAGTTTAATAAAAAAATAAAGATCGGTGAAATAGATTGCCTAAAGCTTCTGGCAAAGTTGTTTTATTACGGCTATTAAGGCTTGTTGCGTGATGAAAGCTTAATGAATATATCGTTAGGCTCAAATGGATCACTTGTCATCCATAACAAATAACCTTTATTGATCATTCAAACAATTCAAAAATCTTCTTGACATCTAATAAACTACTTTTGATAGTCGAGAGATTCTATTAATAGAAATGTTCCAAAAATCGAGGATAAGAAATAATTTTTTAAAAAAGCATAGATTACTGCTGGAGTGATGGAACACTTATCAAAAATGTGACAAGCTCTTCAGAAAACCCTGAAAGGAAGTGTGGCTCAGAGTGGATCAGGATCGAGTTTTGTGGAAGTACATTGGGAAGGCCTATTTTAAGGTCGGTGGATTTGTGAAGCTCTATAATGATGATTATGATGGTGATGTTTTTCAGTTCGCCTAATAATAATTGGCCTTTTCAGTCCAAGAAGATCATTCTGTAAAAATCTTTCAAAAAAGAAGACTACAGGTGCTTTGTCACCTCTGAGAACAAAGACGGAAGGTCTTAAAATCTGACGTTAAAATGGTTCTGAATGTTCTTCAGACTAAAACATAGAAACATAAATATCGAAATGCAATGTTTCTTGGCGGTTTAAATAGTTAAGAGGACGGTACACACTCACACCAGATCCTGGACAGAAAAGGAATCCTACAAATTACGTGTGTATGTACACTCATACTTACATAAGTGCACGGCATCGTGTAATATATTTTTTATAGAATAATGCTGACATACAAGCACACAGTTCACCCGATGAAAAGTGGATGGTGTAGCCTATAGACATCTAAATCTATCCTGAATTAAGTATCAAAATGTTGATGCTTCGTCACCTCTGAGGAATAGGATGGAATGCCTCGTTTCCAATTAAAAGGGTCTCCTATTTTCTACATTCACTATACGAAGCAAAGAAGCATTAAGCTGCTATTTCATGATAGCATTCGGTGAGAGCGTGGCTCTGCCCGGGTCCACCCGATTCATCCGTGCTACAACCAATAACATAGATTCAGCATGGCACTACTACGTATAAAACAGCAGGACTGTAAAAACTACCGTTGTATCAGCTTGCTTGGCATTGTAGGTAAGATGTATGCTAAGGTGTTAATTGAAAGAGTTATAGAAGAAAGTGATGGCAAAATTTGGGATGTGCAAGCTGGATTTAGAAATGGGATGGGATGTACGGATCAAGTCTTTTCCATGCGCATGATTGCAGAGAAGTTTTTGGCCAAAAACCAGAAAGTTTTTTATGCGTTCATAGACTTGGAAAAGGCTTATGACAGAGTGGACAGGAATGTGTTATGGCAAACACTGAACTCATTTGGTTTGAGCGCTGGTTTGATACAGGCATTAAGGTCTCTTTATAGGGACTCTAGTGCTTGTGTGAGGATCAACGGGGTCTACTCGAACTGGTTTGGCATTCAAAAAGGTGTCAGACTGGGTTGTATAGCTTCCCCGTGGCTGTTTAAGCTATTTATGGACAGTTGTTTGCACACTTTAAAAGTTAAAGAATGTGGGTTGAGAATGGGTGAGTTAACCGTCAATTAAGTCGAAAGTGATGGTTTTTGAAAGAGAAGAAAGTAAAACGTTATATGAAATAAGAATAGAAGTGGAGTTGATTGAGCAAGTGAATGAGTTTGTATATTTGGGATGTTTATTTACTAAGATTCTATATTTCTTTTATCTTTAACAAAGACACGCTAAATAAGTGATAAATTTAAAATCTCTGTACAAACAACTTTAATATAAATAAAATGAGAACATTATCAATGTAGTCGAAGTCAACTAAATACGCATTATTAAAGATAACTCAAAAACTGTTAGTCAGATCTTGATCATAAAAGTCGGTTCACCTAGAAAAAAGTTCTGAGTTAACTCATAAAAAAACATACAGTCGAATTGAGTAACTCCTTCTTTTTTGAGGTCGGTTAAAATAATATTATATTAGTCACTCAAAAAATATTAAAATGCAATACTTATTTTTACTAAATATTGATTTTTAGTGTCACCCGTGGTATTGATTTATGTCGTGGCATTCTATCCCAGACCTCAAAGGGTAATAAGTTATTAATTTGTATCCTTCTTTGTTTTAAGTAGACTGCCGTCACCACTTATCATTAGATGGTTTGCGAGCTCTTTCATTTAAAAATCAAAAATTAAATCATTATATAATGTATGGTACGGTACATAATATTATGATAAACATTTAATTTGATTTAAATTTAAAAATCTGCAGATTCCCGCAATTGCTTTGGTATAACAAACTAAATTAATTTAAAATTGAGTTTCCACCAGGGTAATCGATTTACAATCCACGGAACTTCTTTGCCTTCTCAGTTTTATTGTTTCCTTGATCCTCTTTGATTTCGTTTCTTTACTAACTTATAAGCTGGAGTTTTTTTATCTTAGCTTGGTTGAAATTGAATGCGGAGATCTAAAATTTATTGTCTTACTAGCTGTGCCCCGCGGTTTCACCCGCGTTCATCATGTGTCGGTGGTGCGCGACATGACCTAGTTCAAGCATTTTATAATTGCAATTAAATATTTTATTTGATAGCAATGGATGGAAAAATTGTCATAATTAATGGAGTACTTTGATCTGTCGGCATATTATGTATGATGTAGAGTGAAGGTAAGTTTTATCCACTTTCCCTCCCCCTTCCGGTTGAGCGTCCTCCCCCCCCCCCCCACACGTTCTCACCGGGCGGCTAGGGTTTATGCGTTGTTCGCGCGCCCAGCCAAGTATTGAATTATTTTAATTTTACATTATCTCTTAAACTATGCGTCCAAATAACATGGTATAAAGAACAAAGTGTATCTTCATAAAATTGTCTTGATTATGATGTAATTTTCGTTCGTGCCATGCCTAATAATAACGCTCATAAATCACTTTTAAATTTTCAAAATTTTTTTTTGTCACAAAGTATCTATTTATGGCTCATGCATAAGAAATAGGCATATGGTATCGCGAACTTCTTTTTAAGCGGAGTAAAGATCTATATTTTTCTAGAACATTGTATTTACGTATCCCTAACGATAACACCAGCGTACGCGGATAAATCATTTCGGGAGTGCTTTTTCTTCTGACTTACTTAACAAATATCCATATTTAAGGCTAGCTGAGTGATATAGCTTAATGCTAGATAGCCTATACTATTCCACATGAATGTAGCTATAATATACAAAAAGAATTTTTCAAATCGGAGTGGTACTTCCAGAGATTAGCGCGTTTAAACAAACAAAAAAAAACTCATCCGCTTTATTATATTATAATATATTAAGTATAAATATTAAGTATAGATAAAATACATTGGCTAAGCTTATTCAATTCACAGTAAAATAACTAATAAATCTGGCTTTCCCCCATATATTATTTGTCTTTTTTAATAGTTTTCATCTTGTTCTTCTAGATATTAAAGTTGTATGTGAAAGAAGAAAATTCTGGCAAACTTAATAGGTTCTAATCTAGTTTATACACGGCGTTAATTATTTATTGACATTTAACTTGATTTTGAACAACTGTAATTTATAATTGGGCATACAAAGTTGCGTATACAAATTATTTTATTTATACATAATAATATATAGTTATAGATCTTATACTCTAATAATGTGAATGTCAATCCGCTAGCTTCGCGTGACAATCAAGGAAAATTCTTCCTACAACAGGAAAGTCTATTAAAAGTCAAGTCAAAAAAGAAATGTAATTTTACAGGCCTAGATATCATATAATTTGTTTAGATGCAATAGGTATACTTAGTGGCCTAAATACCAGTTACCAATACTTAGTTGCACTATATTCAATAAATGTAATTATAATAATAGAACATTAATATATTATAACAGAGAGATATCAGAAAACTGATGGCAATATTCTTTTCAAATCGTGAGAATCTATTAGTAACAAAAATTTGTATTTAAATTATTTAAGAAAAGAAGTCCTACATTCCTTCTAATTATAATAAATTCTTTTAATATAATGGAATATACGGTTGTACACTTTGCGAATTTCATACAAAATTAGAC